TCTTTTTTAATGTTTTGTTTTCCAGTTTACTGTAAGTATACATAAAACAGTGTTTTTGTCTTGTTTTTAACCCATAACATTTGTAAACTTTTATCCCTTTGGGTTGTGTAGGACAAAAAAAAACACTGTCTGGCAGGTTGCTACCTGTCTTTCAGCCACACCCTTCTGCACAAACACCACCTCTTCCTGCTTTTCTCTGTTATCAGTTCTGCTTTTCCCTGCAGGCACTTTACTCATGTTGGATTTGCCTTTCTATTATATGAATAGAAGCAGTTGCAATTGTGCAGTCTGAGCCACACAGTTCCAGTTTGTTTTTAATCGTATCTGTTTGTGGACTTTGCTTTTTGCTTGATTTTTATTTTTCCCGCCTGTTCCCTGTTTGTGTCTCATTGCTTCCCTCACATCTCCCTCAGCAGCCTTTTCCAGCATTACTTCTAACAAAAGGTAAGCAGTTTGAACTTTTAATTTTAATTTAATATCAGTGTCGCTGATTATATATGTATTAATGGAGAAGTTGATCACAAAGATCTAATCTGTAAAGCAGTGCTGTCTGGTTAAATATTAAATTGTATATTTCAGTTTCATTTCTTCGTCATGGATGATTTTGTAAGAAACAAACTGCTTGAATGGGGGCTAAGTGAGTGGGTGGAGAAATTTAAAGGTAAAGTATTAACGTGAATCCCTGATGGGTACAGATATTGATTCTGATGTGATCTGTTGACTCTGAAACAGCATAGATTCTTGAGATTTTTGTCCATACTGCACAAAATGTTTTTAGACATAAAAGTGGGTTAAATTAAAACTGAAGAGCATTCATCTCTTTCACTCATTTAACAAGAATTTCTCAAGCAAGTTGAGAATAATCTTTATCTCTTCAACTTTATCTTTAACTGCAGATAAAAAAATTGATGCAGAAAGTCTGTATGATCTTGATGATGAAGAAATTGATCATGTGATCACAAAAGCTGGACCAAGAGTGAAATTCAAGAAGAACCTCAGGCTGTTAAAGGTAATTAATTTCTATCATTTCTATTTTAGTGCATAGAGGTTTATCTTGATACCGTATGTAGTGGAATTTTTGTTAATTCTTCACTAATTTGGATTTAAAAGCTTTTGATTGTGGGAATAACAAAACTCAAATCAGGAAACAGTCATTTCTTTTCAATTGTGTTGTTTTGTTGCCTTACGATTTAGTGTCTATATGACAAATGACATTTTTAATACATGTTTAAGTGCTCAATATTGTACACAGCTTTGCACTTCTTATCTGCAGTGTAAACAGGAGCAAAAAGCAGCTGATTTGGCTCAGGTAAGGATTATACTGAATTTCAGACATTTGGGCCAACTGCCTGAGACAAAGTAAAGCTCCATCCTCTGGCTGATAGAGACTGAATCTAAAAACTTAATTCATCAATCTGCTGGTTGAATAATTATCTGTATAACTAAATTTCATCCTCAGGTCTTTCCATCCACAAGTGATACAGGTGAGACACACGCATCTTATTTATTGCATCTCATTAATCTGTTTTAAAGGCAGCACTATTTTGTACAATCAAACTTTGAGAACAACTTTCAATGCTGAGAGAAACTTTTTTTGTTCTTTCTCTTTTGTTTTTGTCCAATCAGGAAAGAGAAAATCTGATCTTCAAAGTGACGCCAGCAGGTTACAACCACCAGCTAAGCGACAACGTCTGTCTGTGCCGGGATTTGCAGGTATTTACAACTCTTTCTGAACAATTTTACAGTTGAAGCCACTATAGGGTTAAATTTCTGTGCAGGACAATTTTTCCAAAATATAAAATGTCGGCGTGGCAGGAATGAGGCATGACGTGACCACAATTCTACGTTCTTCAACATACTTTTATCTATGGTTGCTGTTCTAATACACTTCCACACATACCCACAACAACGACAACAACAACAATATTACAGGGCCCTACACCATTCTTAAGCTAGCGAAGAGTGATTACGATTACAGGTGCTTCTGCCTTCCCTGTCGCAACACCGCCGCCCACGGCCCGCCACAGTCAGTTTCTGCTTTGGTGTTAGAAATTACTTTTTCTTTGGGCTGCTATCAAATTTTAACAGTCAGCATGTTGCATGGTATATTAATGTCTGTCGGTAAGTTGTCACATTATGCTCCTGATATACTCTAATTCACACTTTTTGTGAATTTTGTGAACAAAATCTTTTGTTGTTTTTTTGTTGTTGTTGTTATGAGACTTTACATTGACTACATGCTAGTTTAGAAGTCCTGCTAAATAGTTCTTTACTTTCATGCCCACAGAATCAGTCATACTGTCTGATGCAAAAAGCATCATGACATTTGCACATGCCAGACTACATCACCAAGACAAACTCTGTGCTTTCTTGAAGTGAGTATTAAGTTTTCATATTTTTTAATGAATGGGCCTTAGTTTTTTATGTTTTGTAATGTATGTGCATGGTTCCACTCATGACCATGTGCAGGTTTCACAAACGGATCAGTTTATTTTTTAGCTTCGTCTCAAATCCTTTTGGTTCAATATTCAACCATTTATTTCTAGTGTCAGTCTGTTTGGTATGTTGGTTTCTTTATCTATTTTTAACCTCCTAGGACCTGGCGTCCACATATGTAGACATCACAATTTGGGTTGTCTAGACCAAAATACTAAATTTTGCTCTACAAGGGCCTGATATCCACTTACGAGGACATTATACTGACACTGTTCTATCAAAATTAAAACGAATGTCCTCATATGTGGATCCCAATTTTTTAGAAACAAAACTCAGGTAAAAAGAAAAAATCTGATAATTCTTTGTTTTTACATTCATCAGGTCCCAATCAGCCCAAATAGCAAAGAGAAATTAAAAATGCATGCCATGAAAGAGTTCGGGTCTTCGGAGGTTAAGTTTTACTTCTGACTAACAACAACAGATGTTCAACCATACAAATTATAGATGATTTAATGATACTAAAGCATTAAATCATCTATAATTTGTATGGTTTGAACATCTGACTTTTAATGTGTATCCCACTTAGACTTAAAAAAATGTCATCCAATAGCTAATAACAGAAACATCAGCACTTTTGCTGACAAACAATGAAGCTATGAACCAAAACAACAATAAACAATGAGCTGAATAAGTGTATAAAACTGAAACGTCTAATGATAATTCTTTGGATATTCTATAATGATATATATACTATAATGACTATCACTATTCTTTTATGCGTTAGTGATGTCAAAATATTGTTTTAAACCTTTTTAATTACATTTGAAAATGTTTTCATGACTGAATCGTTTAACCCATATTTAAAATCTTGATCAACAGGAAAAAAATCAGTGATTTGGAGACAGACAAGAGGGAGCTGGTTGGTGTCTTTGGTAAAACTGGGGCTGGAAAGAGCTCTTTGATAAATGCCATTATTGAAGAGAAGAATCTTTTACCCTCAGGAAGTATCAATGCCTGCACCTCAGTCATGATTAAATTGGAAGCTAACACCTACAGCTCAAAGTATGAGGCAGAAATTGAGTTCATTACAAAAGAGGTAAATTGAATTATAAAAGTTTCATTTTTACTTAAAACTAAATCATGTGTTACAGTGCAGTTCTGGGGGCTTAAGGCTGGGTACATGCCTCAATAAATAATATGTAAAAATGTTATTTTAGGAGTGGAAAGATGAGTTGTGGTCATTTCATCAGTTTTCTTGCAAAAATGGAGATCACGAAATGGAAGATAATGATGATCATCATGATGCTGTGGAAAAGCTGTCAGCAGTGTATGGAGAAGAATGGAAACAAAAGTCTTCTGAAAACCTCATGAAGAGCAAATATTTCAAAGCAATTCCAGAATTTCTCCAATCCAAGAGGAAGATTTTGACATGTGAATCGGTAAGACAAAAACTCTCATATTACATTATATCTATCATATATATACAGCAAAATTAATTAAGTAGTTGGCTTTTTCACATGTTAAATTTTTAACGACTTTTAAATTTATTCATAGAAATCCACTACTGAGCACCTTTGGCAAAAAGTGAATCAAAGGGGCCAGAAATTTTAGCAAGTTAATGTCTGACGGCCAGTTGCATCAGGAAAGGCAAAAGGGCGTACAACTCTGTCAATCAAAACATGCTGAGTTACTCGCAGAGGTGCCCCCTTTTAAATAAGGGAGCAGTGTAAAGTAGCTTTTTAATGTCTCAAATTTGTGGACAACTATACAACATGCCCACATAAAGTTGTTTCTGCTAAGAGCAATACTAGTTATAAAGAATATAAAACTTTTCCTAAATAACTTCTTAAATACATTTTAATTGTGGCTGGCAATGATCCTTTTTGGTTGATCGTTTTAAACAGTTCAAGAAAGCAACAATTTCCATAGAAATTACCGTTACCTGAATTCCCCCTCAGTACCCCTCAGAGTGGGGAACTGTCTTGGTATAATATAAAACAAGGGGAAGCTACATTATCCCATACTTCTGTGATAGACATACTTGTACACAATCTGATCATTTAAATCTAAAATGTAAAAACTAATTACTCCAGCTTTAGTGATCCAGTTTCTTTAATTAATTGTTCTTTTGTCATCTTTTATGTCACTGACTTTTTGATGGTTTTTGTAAAGCACTTGCATTGAGGACTGAAATTAAACGGCACTACTTTACTTTTGTTCTTGATTGCAGGCTAATGAACTCTGTGCAAAAGTTGTCAAATACACAAGAAGTGATTCAAAACAAGGAGAAGGCAATGAAGGAAAAACATGGTTTTGGCCACTAGTGAAGTGTGTGACTGTCAGGGTGCCAAACAATCCTCTTCTCCAGCATGTCACACTTGTGGACCTTCCTGGAAATGGTGA